CAGCTTTGTGGCACAGCAAGCTAAGCTACTGCCTACAACGCTAGCATCCCATACGAGCACCAGTTCCAGTCCTGGCTGCTCTGCTTTGGGTACAGCTCTCTGCTAATGCACCTAGGAAAGCAGCAGAGGATGGCCCACATGCTTGGTCCCCTGTCTTCCACATGGAAGACCTGGATGGAGTTCCTGGCTCCTGGTTTTGGCCTGGCCCATCCATCGCCATCTGAGGAGTGAACCAGCAGATGGAAGCACATGCTGTCTAACTTTTCCTTAAATAAATCTTTTATGGGAAGTATAAAAATACAAAGCATTATGAAAGTTTAGATGGGGCAACTATTTGTTTTGTCATTAGTTTGATGTTGTTTAAGTCCTTGACCCCACTCTGCCACCACCTACCTCTGCAGGACCAATTCCTTAATTCTCATCCAGTCCACCTGCCAATTGCTGTAGCCAAGAACATTGAAGTGGAGAATTACTGCAGCGGGGTTTACTAAATAACTGAGCCATCTCCACTTTGAAATGTAGCAAGGGTGGACTCTGAGTAACAGTCACCGTTTGCTCAGTGTCTATAATTGCAACTGCTATCTACGATGCTCTTTGCCAAACCGTGATCTATATGCCAGGCGAGTTTCAGGGCCACCTGTGTTGCCAGCCTCATAGCACACATCAGTGACAGTTCTCGCACTCTCAGGGAGGCTAAATCTTTCATTTCAGGCTCCTTGTCTTTTCTTTCCTATTTAGATCTAAGTAGACATTTGCTTGGGAAAAAGGCAGATTATCACCAGCGGTATTTGCATTTACAAAGAGGACGGGAAGAGAACATTTCCTCTGGCAATAAAATAAAAGCAAATGTTTTCTTCCACTCCCTTCAGAAAACTCTACATGATTTGAGAGCTGTTGCTTTGGTTGCTTTTTAACACTTTGGGAAATTGAAAGCCGGATGGAGGGTGCATGGCGGAAGAGCCACATAAAAGTGCTGTCACAAGATCAAGTGAGGTGAATTCTCTGAATAGAAAGACTGGGTTTTGTTTTGTGGATGAAATCCCAAGCTATGGAATAGCTTTTGTACCCAATAATAATGGCTTATTGGCAATTTTAGATTTCTGCATTTTAAATAGTTCCACACATTATCTGCAACTGTAGGGTTATACAAGGAGAAGTCGTGATGGATAACACTCTTTTTTACACATTTATTTATTGGGGCTGGAGTAGTGGCACAGCTTCTTGAGGTGCTGCATCCCATGTAGGAGTGACAGTTCGAGTCCTAGCTGCTGTGTTTCTCATCCAGCTTCCATGATACTGTACCTGGGGAGGCAGTGGAGGTTGGCCAAAGTACTTGGGTCCCTGACGTCCACTTGGGAGGCCAGTATGGAGTCCTTGGCTCCTGGCTTGTGGTGACCCAGATCTGGCTATTTCAGGCATTTGAAGAGTAAACCGGCAGATGCATTTCCTCTTTATTTGTCTCTCCCTCTCTGCCAGTCTGCCTTTCAAATAAATAAATCTTTTAAAAATATCTATAGGGCCTGGTGCTGTGGTATAATAGGCTAAGCCTCTGCCTGCAGCACCAGCATCCCATAGGAGCACTGATTTGAGTCCTGGCTGCTCCACTTCTGATCCAGCTTCCCTCTGATGAGCTGGGAAAGCAGCAGAGGATGGCCTAAAAGCTTGGGCCCTTAGGGGACCTGGAAGAGGCTCCTGGCTTTGGATCAGCCCAGCTCTGGCCATTGTGGTTATTTGGAGAGTGAACCAGCAGATGGAGGCCTTTTCTCTCTGTCTCTCCCTCTGTCTGTTAACTCTACCCCTCAAATAAATAAATCTTAAAAAAAGCCAGCAAACTTCCTGCTGTGGGCCCGATATGGGTCAGAGCCAGTTTTTATAAATGAAGTTTATTAGCACACAGCCACACCTGTTTCTTTATGTATTTGCTCTGCTTTCAATAGTTGCTGAGTCATTGCAACTGATCCCATCTGTCTCCTATCTGGTCCTGTATAGATAAAAGTCTGCTGAGCCCTTGTTTAAATCATTCTCAGTCCATCCTGTGACTACTTGTGGAGTAACACTAAAGAACACAGAGGAGGTGCAGCGATGCTCCTGACTGAAACTGACAAAGACGTTCTATGGGAGTGGATTACATGTATTTACACGACTCGGGTATCCAGTGTGGAAATGCCACCACAACCATACTGGCTATGAGGGGCCTTCAGAAAGTACCTGGTGGGCCAGGTGTTTTGCACAGTGGTTAAGTCTTTGCTAGGGATGCCTGCATCCCACGCTGCAGTTCTTGGTTCAAGTCCTGACTGTCCCACTTCTGATCTAGCTTCCTGCTAATGTGCACCACTGGAAGCAGCAGGTAACGACACAAGGACCTGGGCCCCTGGCACCTACATGGGAGACTTGAAGGGAATTCCTGGGTCCTGGCTTTGGTCCGGGTGAGACTCACAAGCTTGTAAGTGTTTGGGGAGTGAACCAGGGGATAGAAGGTTTCCCTGTCTCTCACTTTCTAGTAAGATAAGAATGCATGAAAATACATATTATGATTTAAGAAATGTTATGCATGGATTTCAATTTTTTTGTTCCAAAATGTATTTTGAAATCTACTTCTAACTTTTCGAAGATTCCTTGCATATAATTATGACTTAAAGATAGAAGTGGAAATCTGTATTCAGGGTACCTTAATCTTAATTGCAGTGCTAGTTATGTTACTAGCTAACACTTCTGGAGAATCTGCATAGTCTGGTCACTGTTCTAGAAAGTTTCCATAAAATATTGTTTATTCCTGATGTTGAGGAAACTTACGCTTTCCTGGAGATGGGGTCTTGGAGGGGAAACGAACAGGTATATCAAGGATTCAAGATTATGACCCCGACCCTGGAGGTCATGCTCATTACATTGCTGCTCATTACTCCCCAGACACAATGGCTGTTAGGCACAGCTCCTAGCTTGAAGTGAACCTTCCTCTGCGCATGGTCAGGGACTCATGCCTTTAGAGACATTCTCTGGAGTTCTCTTATGGATACTGTAAATGTGAAACAACAAGGAACAAGGTGGGAGTACATAACACCCTCATTCAGCAAATTAAAGACAGAATCCCAAGGTATGAAATATTTTGGGCAAATTTTTTGAAATTGTAGCTTAAAAATCAATGAATTATATTGTAGAAAAAGCATCAGATGGTAGCTAATTTGTTTAGGTAGATGGGAATGATAGCAGAATTAGGGCTATCAACCAGGTCTGCTGAGTCCTTGCCCAATGCATCCATCTCCCTCCCCCCGCCTCTCTTTAGCTATCTATCTATCTAGCCAGAGCATCAGAGAGGAGGCATCTTCCAATGACTGGTTAACACTCTGAAAGGCCCCAATAGCAAGGGCTGGGCTAGGCTGGAGCCAGGAGCCAGGAACTCCATCTTGATCTCCCATACGTGTAACAGGGGCCCACATACTTGAGCCATCTCCATTTGCCTTCTCAATTGCATTAGCAGGAAGCGGAATAGAAAATGGAATAGCCAGGACTTGAACCTGCACTCCAATATGGGATGCCAGTGTCGTAGACAGTGTCATAGGCAGATGTGCCACAATGCCTACCCTCCAATTTTTTTTTTAAACCAAGTCATGGGCGAGTTGTCCATTCCTGTCCCCATGTTGATGACAGTGCACTTAACATAGTCATGATTTTCATAGGTTGAATACAAGATATTTTCATCCTTTGGCAAATTTTCTGGGAAATATACATTTTTATCTTTCATTTTCAAGACACCATCTTTTTGATAGGGACTGCCTATCTCTGTAAGTTCAGTATTCTCTGGTGGGAAGGCCTACTTGTCTTGTCTTCTCTAAGCCTGACTGCTTTCTCCTTGGGTCATTCATTCTTGGATTCTGGATGACTTTGGAAACAGGAAGTAGTATTCTATCTTTTCTTGCCAGTCCTCCCTTTCAGAAAAGACAGACTTGGGTAAAATGTCCGTGACAATAAAGAACACAAAATGGAAATGACAGAGCAAACCCAACACTAAGAAAATGAAGCTTTGCCTCAAAAGAAAAAGGAAGTAAGACAGTTCTGGCAGACTTGTTCTTTTTTCTATTCATTCTGTGGTATGCGGGGGCTTAGGCAGAGGAGACTGCATTTGTCAGTGCCTTCTCCTGAGAGTTACCCTTCCAGCTGAGCCAAAAGCTAGGTGCATTGCTGTGATGAACATCACCTCAGCCCTTTCTCATTGATTATGAATCTCTCAGTTCCATGCTGAACTCCACTACCCTGCTAGCTCATCAATGAGGAGCGTCTGCATTCACAGTACCTTTTTGCTTCTCTAAGGTCCTCTGTCTTCATATCCTTTTGTTATCCTAAAGCTTCCTTTGTTGTACTCAGCCTGGAACCAAGCCCCCATGCAGTGCCTTGAATGCAGATGGGAGAGAGATCTCTCAGCCCTGCTCTCTCTGCCTTACCTCCCTGAATTCAGGGAGTGGTATCGCCAATCACCAGACTCATGAGGTCATTTGCTTCTCCAAGGATAACACACTGGTGGCCAGTATTGTCTCAAGGGGTTCTGTTTGGGGGAATTCCAGGTCTGGGGCAGGAGACAGCTACCATCTGCGTATAGCCCCAGGCTGATGGAAGCCAACCTGTCCATCATACTAGTACAGCATTCTGTTGTTCCCTCAAGGCTGGACTGCTGGTTTCCCTCTTGCCCATAACCTAAGCACACATTGTCTGGTTCCTTATCTCAACTCCTTTTGCAAACAGCCAGGGCATGAAACAGTCTTAAGTCTCCATTGGAGTAATGAATGGGACTACAAACAAGGTCAGGCTTTTCTATGACATCCCCAAAAGGCAGAGTGGGATGTCAGTGCCGCATCTTGTTCTTTTCCCACTTATTAGTGGGACCACATAAGAAACATAGCCAGTGATATCCAAAAGATGGCAAGGGCTGGAGACCACATGGTTTTGACCACCTTGGTTTTGAAGGCTGTCAAAGGAACATGGTTTATTGAGAAGTTGCCCCCAATTACCTGTTGATGCTGTTCTTCTGTGCTAACATCTGCCAGTCCTTGCCTTTGGCATTGGGGGTATCAAATGTAGCACAAATCCTCTGTCTGATGGAGTAGGGGATTTTGAAGGCTTTGGGGCCAGTCTGTGCAGGGAAAGTGCTGTCCTCTTGTGCAAAGAAAGTGATGGTTTCTCTTTCACTCTACAAAGAAAGCAAGGAAAGCATGATCACATACAACTGAAAGTATCACCGATCAACACTTTTCTCCACGTGTGAAGTTAACACACATGCGTGCGGTGGCTGCCTGTTGTGATGTGCTATATAAAGTATTTTGACAAGCTTCTTTCCCTTCTGAAATAGTAAGGAGCTTCTCTAGTAGTCTAATAAATCCTGCTAGAGATTTACAGCAGCCTCTTCCACTCAGGGCAGTTACAGTCACAAGCTTCCAACATCCAGGGGAGAGCAGAATTGGATCCTTTGTTTCTGGCTCTCAGGATAGAACTAGAATGGCGGGAAGAAGCAAGCAGATGACATGTTTTAGACCAGTATAAGGAATGACCCTCTAACAGACATTAATGACCAAAGGTGAACAGGCTGATAGAGGAGCAGGCTGGGAGGCACCTTTTAGGTAAAGCTACAAAAGAGAACTGCTTCTGTGTTGATCACAGAAAGTTTGCTGTAACCCCAGTTTTAAAGTCATGAGATTCAATGATAAATACATTGGCTTCGTTTCTGAATTATATTATTTTGGTGTAGAGGAGCCAGCCAGGAGTTAGAGACAACATCCACACCAGCATGTGCAGAGGGGTAGGCTGGGGGCGTCTCATGCTGTGTGCTCACCATGCTCCAAGGAGGACTTGCTATTCTGGTGCATTGCAGCAATCAGATTGTCCTCTGCAATGCCAAATCACATAGCAATGTGGGGGACTGCAGAGGGTGCTAAGCTGAAGTAGACTACCAGAGGTTTAAGGATGAGAAATTCCTGCTTGAATCACTCTCATGGACTGTGCTGATGTGATGGCCTCCAGTCAGTGAACTCTGAATTGAGAGGGAGAGCTTCCACAGTCAGCCTGATCTAGACAAGGAATTCCCTAAAGAGGGGGAAGAGGTAGCTCTTATCTGGAAGCGTCTCCTCTATGGGCCTGCAAGAAAATAAACATGTTGGAATTTCCTTTGTGTCTTCTTTATAATGTATTTATTGAGTTGAAAAGCAGAGTAGAGCGAGAAAGAAGGAAATCTTCCTTCTAGGGGTTTATTCTCCAAATGGCCGCAGTGACTGAGGCTGGGCCTGGCTGAAGCCAGGAGCCTGGAACTCTATCTGGGTCTCCCACATGGGTGGCAGGGGTCCAAGAACTTGGGCCATCTACTGCATTAGCAGGAAGCTGCATTGGAAGCGGAGTAGCTGGGACTCAAACCAGAGCTCATGAGATGCTGGCTTTGGGACGGCAACTTAACCTATTGTGCCACAATGCTGACTGTAAGGGGGGACATGTGGCTAGGAACTGAGAGGGAACCCTTGGTTTACAGCCAGCAAGAAAGTGGGGACTTAAGTATCATAGCCATGAGAAAATGAACTATGCCAATATCCTGAATAAAGTTAGAAAAAGATCCTAAGCTCCACATGAGAACATGTCCTTGATTTTGACCTTGTGAGACCTTGATTAGAGAACCCAGTCATGCAATGTCTGGTTGTGTGACTAGCCAAAGGCTGTGAGATGAATCACAGCTGCTGTTTTATGCTGCTGGATTTGTGGTATGTTGCTACACAGCAAAAGAAAACTAACATGAAGGAGCTTCAAAAAGTTCATGGAAAATAGTTAAAGAAAGGTTCCTTTTGGTGCAGAAAATCTGGAAACCCTTGCCTAGTTTTTTCATCATACAAATACTACATGAACTTTTTGAAGATTTTTTTCTATGCATGGATTTTAACAGTAAGCTTATTGTGCAGCTCTATTTTTGAAGGTAAATAAATAAAGTATCAGATCTGAGCCTGGGTTAAAGGACCAGAAAGGATGATGAACTCCCAGGAAGGTCTCCTTCACATTAGGAACCTACCTACATCCTCCTGTGGGTCAACATGCGCCTTCCTGAGCTACCCTGCAATCCCGCCCTGATCAGCACATGGCTTCCTGCTATGGTAGTGCCCATTCGCAGCCCAGCGCCCAGGCTCACGCAACTAGAAGTCATCATACATGCTGAGTGTTGCTTCAGCCATCTCTCAGTTGAGGAAGCTGGCTAATGCACAGATTTTATTATTGACAGTGCTGTCTATCTTTCCATAACCATTTAACACAATTCCATTTTGAGGGTTGTGTTGTGGAAATGCAATGTCTTTTCAAAAATTTAAATATGAGACATATTTATGAGGCACAATGTGATGATTCAATACAATTATTCAATGGCTGGTGATTAAATCAGGTGAATAAGCATTTCTATCTAGAGTTTTTGATTAATGCCCAACAATCAAATATATCTATGGGGTACAGCATGACATTTATCAAATCATAGCAATCAACATTTCCCTCTTCCTGTCATCACTCTATGCTTAGAAGCCTTTAAAGCCCATCTCCTCTAACCATTCATCAAATAGGTAATCGTTTATTGCACACTACAAGGGAACACACTGCCTTAACCCAGCATTTCCAGAGGATATTACAGAAGATGCCCTGAGAAAGAGCAGCCTCATGGTCATAATATATTTGAGAAATGTTGCTTATTATAACCTTTTCTTGGAAACTCTATGTGTTATATCAAGTGGTTCTACTTTTGGTTTTAGGTTCTTCAAAAAAATTATTTTCATTTTATCTGAAAGGCAGAGAGACCAACAGAAATCAATCTTCCATCTAGTGATTTACTCCCCAAATGTCCATAACACTGGGGCTGGGCCAGGAGGCTGAACTCAATCTGGGTCTCCCACATGGGTGTTAGGGACTTAAGTACTTGAACCATCACCTGCTGCCTTCTAGGTGATGCCTCAGTAGGAAATTGGAATTGGAAGTGGAGTAGTGGGGTCTTGAATAAGGTGCTCTGATGTGAAATGCAGGTATCTTAAAAACCATCGTAACTTCCATGACTGCCTTTTCCTTCATTTTAGTTCTGTTCTCTGGTATGTTATAGGACACTGCTTCTCAAAAACTCTCCCAGTATCTGAGATTAGCATGCTCTACCAGAAAGAACATGGTGTGTGGAATCGGGAAGACCCCAAATAGGAGGAAGACTCTCTACCTCATAGATCAGTGACGTTGGATGCTACCCAGCCCCTCTCAGCCTCAATTTCCTAATCAGTCTTTTTTTTTTTTTTTCATTTCTTATAGACTCCACAGAGGGTTTGAAGTATGGCAAAAGTTACCCAGGTAGTTTGTGACACAACTGCAACTAAAATTTGGACTTCCTAATAGCTATATCAGCACTCATTCCTTTATACAACTTGGCTTCAAGACAAGTATCAGGAAATCCACACAGCAAAGGGGTTAAGAAAAATATATTCTGAGTGATATTCCCATTAGTCTTTAATGGTATTAGGAAAGGCTTCATGGAGGGGACATTTGAGTTTAACTTGAAGGATGGCAGATATCGACTGACTAGAGCTTGGGTGTGGTTATTGCAAGTGTGGTGGACAATTCTGTTATGACTTACTAGGCGGCTATAAAACAAACCAACTGAGCTTCTCATTGTATAAAGTAGGTTATAACATAATTTTTTTTAACCATGGTTTATAAAATTTCTTTAGCCTCTAAAATTACAAATCAGGTAGGAATAAGCATCCTTATGTACTTTCTGACTTTGAGTACAGTAGAAACTAGAGGGAGGAGTTTCTCAACTTTTGTATTCTTTCATATATTCAAAAACAAAGGTGTTTGTTTCCAGCCTCTGATCCCTCAAAGACAGAAGGCTTATATTATGGCCAAAGTCCACATTTAAGGCAGCTAAGTCAGACCCCTCGTTTGGGATCTGTTAGTCCGTCTCTGGGTTTGGTACTCTGCCTTCCTCTCTTATCTGTTCAATGAGCATGGACAAAAAGGTTGAGCTTTCTTAGTCTTTAACATTGTGTAAAGTTGTGATGGCAATACTTCATCCACAAAGTTGTGATGGTTATATGACAAAGGTGAAAGCAAATGAAACAGAACCAGAAATATTGTAGCTTTCAAAATTATTCTTTTCTGACAGAAAATAGCAGACTAGACTTCAAAGAAATGGTTTGTTATATAGCCATGGATTCCTGGTAGGTCCATTCCTGTGGTAATACTTGAAGCCGTTAATAAACTGATCCTTCTTAAGACAGAAGGCTTAAAAAAAGCCTCCAAGAGGCAGTTACCTACCAATGGGGTGACTATTGCCTGACAATGAATATCAAAATACCATTAGAATAGTTGCCTCCAATTATGAAGATACTGTGATGCCATTCTCAAGACATTGCAAAGTGACTGGAAACTTGTCAACCATTGGAAAAGGAACTGGAATTCCAAGGGATAAGATTGTATCAGCTAAAATTATTTCCAGGCACTTTGACACTTTAAGCAAGGAGTAAAGGTACTGGAATGCAGTAACCCTATCATACTCCTCATAGACGAATTTCTTGTAATAGCACACGCTAATCTCCAACATACGGGTGTCAAAAAAACAAACCTTTAAACCTGAAATCCTTGTGTGAATCTGTCAGCAGGCATTTATGGTGATTTGGATTGGAGGCATCTTTATGTCCTGCCTTTCTATGCTTGCTTCTGAAAACCAGTTCTTCTTGACTTCTCCTTTTGCTTTTATTTTAAAACTTGCCCACAATTTTTACTCTTAAATGTATGGCACTAAATATGCCACAACTGTTCAAGTAAGAGGCTTTAAAAATATCCTACCCCTAGGTTTCTGGATCTACCTTCCCCATCAAAACTACTTTAGCACATAATGCTAATTCTCAATAATGAATTCAAATACTGCAAAAACATGTCAGTTAAGACAGCTATCCATTTTAAAGTATAATCCTTTGGAAAGCCATCCAGTCTCCAGAAAGACTATTTGGGAGATTAGCAATACTTAACTTTGCATAAACAATGAATTACAATGAGAATGGAGAGAAGCAATAATGTTATATAGCTACAAATTCTCAAAGAATAAAGTCGGGTTGCATGTATATAAATGTGTTAAACCTTCTACCAAGCGTACATTAATGTATTATTTATATGAATAGATATGTGTATATATGTGTAGTCTGTACAGGTAAGCAATAAAATATGTTTTCCTACACTAGCTAGGAATTATAGGAATTACTTTAAGACAGCTATACTAAAGCATCATATCTCTCTGGCACTCTGTCTTGCTATCCTCAAATTACTATTCAGGAGGGACTGCTCTTTTCTACTGTACAAGCTCAAGTCCAAAGCCATGAAATCATTCACTAGTTTAGGGCAAATCAAAGCATGGCAGAGATCCTGTGTCCACGAATGTTCCCAAGTGAATTCTCCCTTGGATCTCATTTTAACTCTGCCCTTCAATGGCAATTTGATCTGGACAAGGTCCTTTATCCCTTTATTAATTCTCTTCCTTACTTTGTAGCATGAGATTAATGCCTATGCTGTTCACTTTATTAAATTGATGAATCCAGGTGCTATGGTTTGGGTGCGGTTTGTCCCCCAAGGGTTCATGTGTTGGAAGCTGGGTCCCCAGTGTGGTGGTGTAAAGCTGGTGGGACCTTTAAGAGGTGGAACCAGGGGAAGGTCACTGGGGACACTGCCCTGAGGAATGATGAAGGTACTTCTTGAGTTAGGTCTTCTAAAAGTTATTGGTGGCACGTGTGTTTCCTGTCTCACCACATGATTTCTTGGGCATGCTCCCCCACTGTGATAGCATCCACTACAAAATCCCCATCAGAGCTCAGCTGATGCAGATACCATGCAGTTGAACCTCCAGAACCATGACCAAATAACCCGGTTTCGTTATAGTAATAGACCCAGCCTCAGGCATTTCATTATGGTAACAGAAAATGGACTAGGTTTGATAGATATGTGAATTGCATAGCCCTAAGCCCAGAGAGCATGAGAAAATGTAAGCAGACAGGGAACACAGGCCCCTGGAAGAAATAATGCACCTGAGACGACGTACTTCTAGAAAACCAGTCAGATCCACCAAAAGCAAACAAAATGACCTATGAGAATGTGACCCTGTTACGGTCTGTATCTCAACCATTCCAACCAGTAAAGAATTTCAACCGATATTCTAAGCCCTTCATAGTCTATCAGGCTGTTCCTTCTCTGAAGATCCCTCCACAGTGTCTATGCTCTGAGTTTTCTTTTCCAGTAGGAAGCTCAGCTCTTATTAGCAATCAAAAGAGCCTGTGCACTGGGGTACTCTTTCAGAACCTGAGTAGCATGACCGAGTTAGGTCTAGCTGTATTATTTCTGGTCATCCTTTTGAAAGGCTGGGCATCAAGGACTCACCTCTAGGATCGATGTCTGCACTTGGAGGATCTGTTCATGGCCTTTGAGCTGCCGGATGCAGATTTTGCAGGACAGCTGGGTAGTGGTGGGCGTGTAGCGCTCCAAGGAGAAGGCACAGTGCAGGGGCTGCCGGTTACTGCTCCACACGCGGGAGAACGGGACTTCCTGCGGGGAGGATGGAGGAGAGAAGAGGGGTATGGTGTGCAGAGCCCGGCTGAGATGAACAGGAAACAGGAGAGACTTAATAGCAATAATTACGACGATGATCGCAGCAGAGATAATTACCTAAGTGACTTTGGTGGAATTGTTGTAGAAATAACGTTCGAGCATATGCCAAGCAGCATTAAAGTAATTAATGTCAATTCCAATTGATAACATTTGAATTCCAAAACCACACTGTGAGAGCTCGCATTGCTCTTGGTGACACACACAATTGGAAAGAATACCATCAAAAATTAATCAGCACAGTTTTCCACTAAAAAAAAGTACTCCTATCGTTCATCCTTCCATCTAAGCCTGGGGTAGGATGATATCTTCTGACATGAAAATTATGCTAAGGAACTCACTGAAACTACAAACTCCTGCTATTCAATGAGAATGTCACATTGTCGACATATTCTAGCATAAAAATCCTTACCCACTGCCAAAATCAGATGTGTGAGGGGGTCGTCAAAAAGTTCATGGAAAATGTATATCATGAAAACATGATATGTAGATTTCAAAATGTTTTGCACCAAAATACACACATCTTAGTTATATTTTCCATGAACATTTTGAAGAATCCTCTCATAGCCACCCCAGATTTAGTGATGTAGTTTGCTATCTACTCATTTGTTCAATTTGTTCTACAGTAAGGTATCTGCTAATAGTCAGACATTTTACTGGATAAACAAGAAACAACAAAGTAGGTTCTCTTCCAATACTCAAGGGGCAAGTAAATAATTTTTACTAAATGAAGAGGGGAAGTATAAAATCTATGCCAATGTCTCATCATTACTAATCCCGGCCAATGCTTGCCACCAACTGGGCTACCTTAGGCTTGTTACTTTAGAATATGTCATCAATATTGTTTTTTGTGCTAAGAAACAGTCTCTTTCCTACTCAAATACGGCTGGGTCCCTTGGCAATGACCATGTGTGTTCAACCTCTATTAATCCTCATCCTCACTTTTATCCCACTATTTCTCACCTCACTAATTTGCTCTAACTTTTGCCAATAAGCATGATTTTCTACAATAGTAAAGCTGAAAGGTAGAAAAAGATGGATTATGTCTGAAAGTTTTGGATTCTGAAGTGTGACTGATGGAGCCAGCATATGTTATAAGACCAAGGACCATGATTAAAATTTAGTTGATTCACTTTGAGGAATTAGAAGAGTAATTCAGTTAGTGGAAAAATGGATTCAAAGGAAAACTTTCTTAATTTAAAAAAAAATTAAAGCAGAACCTTTTTGACATCTGTGTATATACAAGGTCTTCAAAAAGTTCATAGGTTCATAGAATATGCACACTGTTTTAAGATATGCATGGATTTCTTTAACGATACTGCAGTAGATTTGCAGAAATTCTCTTAGAAGCTTCTATAGTTGGGCAACACTGAAAGGTGCCATAAGTGGGCCCAAAGGGAAGCTATTCTCTCCAGGAGACGCTGGGAGAAGCACTCAGCTACTGGTCACCAAAGAGACTGTGGCTGGACCACCACCTCCCTGTACCACCCGCCGGACAGCACAGCCACATTTAATGGTGACTCCCTCTTCGTTCCAGTACAAACGGTTTCCTGTAGGAACTCTTCTCTTCCCCCTGGGAAAGACACTGCAACAGCAGGCACGTTTGGCTGGGCTTCCTGGTAACCATCAGAGAGAGTCGGTTTCCCTGAAGTGCTCAAAGATCTCTCTTAAATTGAACCATGACATGCACTTCCAAGCTCTGCCAGTTCTTGTCATCTACTCCTACTCATTGCCAACCCCTCCTCCTGGCTTACAAAGCATGGGCAGCTCTTCCTAACTGACTCTCCTACACTTCTCCCTGTGTCGTGAGCTCCTCGGGATACCATTTAATGACACATGCATGCAGGTGCCATCTCTGTGTGTTCAGTAACATCATCCCTCCTGTTTATCTCATGATCATCAGTACTTGGCATTGTACCTGTAAGCACTACAGGTAACTCTTTTTGGTTTTATTTTCTTGGAAACATTATCCTTTGAAAGCAGTTTGTTTCCATCTCTCTCCCACTGCCACTGTCTCCAATTTTCCTATCTCCATTATACTTTCTTACAGCTCACTAGTAGTCCACTCAGTCTCTGCTAGATGGAGCTTAGGAGGGGACTGGGGTTTTTGACAGGAGAGGGAACACTAAGCAATTTGTTGGCAGTCTTCAGGGAATAGCATTGTGGTCCCTCATGGGTCAAGGGTGGGAGATACCAATGCTGCCAGATTGCCCAGGAATTCTGCTTTTGTCACATGATTCCTTGGCTCAGGGATCACAGGAGCCAGATGCCTGCCATGATAAATCTTGTGTCTTGCCTGGCCTCTGTGGGCATCCATCATCCCTTGCTCTTCAGTTTTTCTTTCTGTTCTCCTCTGTAGTACTTCTCGGGGAATTGACTTCTCCAAATCAGCAAAGTTGTGTATAACTACACCCTCCCCTTTGATGAAAGTCACGATAACACAGGGCTAGCTGTGGGGGTACAGGTGCTCTGGGTTACAGCCTAACTTAGCTGAACTAAGGAAGTGCTGGTCTTCCAACACTGCAATTTGAGTCATTTATAGTGTAATGCGAACACCTGGACACCAGGGATAACCGGAGCTCAAGGTCCCACTCTTAAGCAAGATTTAGCAGTAGATTGAAACCCTTGGTGCTGCTTATTCTCCTTAAAAAAATGACACTGACCACTAATTCAAAAGTGTTTTCTTTAGCATCACTTGTTAAATTTCCTTTATTTCCTCCTGAAAGTATGGGGAGAAAAGAAAAAACACAATACCCACAGTAGGGATCATCTTTCCTTGCAGAAAAAAAGCATGAGAATCAATACACATGCAGAAACACACACTAAGCCCTAGTTTCTCTTTGCATTCTGTGCACAAAACATTTAAAAATCTGATTTTAAGGCAGTATCCAAGGAATATTTTTTTATTGTTGACTTGAGTAGCAGCTGCCAGTAGTACTCAATAAAACATTAAAAATAATAGGATTAGAAGTGATTAGACTGTTTTTTGGGATAATCATCTTTGCTTTTATATATCAAAAAACAAAAAAACAAACAAAAAACACCACCAAACCCCAAATCACCAACCTGCTCGGTGATTTGAAAGGAATGTGGCAAGTAACACGGGAGGACAATGTGCCCCACGTTATGGGTGTTTAGAGAGTTCTGGAAGTGTTTTCAACGTGATTCCCATCAGATGGAGCGAATATAAGTCTCCTCCTCGCAGGAGACAGACACCGAGTTCTCCAAGATACGAAGTCTGCTGAAAAGACAGCTGCTTTCATCACAGGGACGGGGCAACCTGACTCCGTGATTTGTTGGATTTAAAACAATTAATAGTTGACTATTTACTGTTTATTACAATTTTCTATTCCACAGCCAGCAAAGACTCAAGGAAGCCATAATGCCGTGGCTCTTGGGTCCCATTAACCTCCAGAGAACAGAAGCGTTTACTCCCAGAGGCTGGTTCTGTGATGGGGGCAATAGCAGATCCCACATTGTGGTAGAAGGAAGACAGTGCTAGGAGAGGCTGTCCAGGCACTGGAAGATGACAGGGACACATACCAGAGGATGGACAGGCTTGTAAATGATGTCAGGGAGAGTGTGATTTGCTATCTCCACCATTGCTCTCTGAGATAGCAAGAAAGAGGGCCCTGCTAGTTCCTAACTGCTAAGCTCTACCAAACAGCCATTCTCTATTATCCACGCCAACTTTGTAGCACACAAGATGTTCTACATGAGGTTCAAGCAGGCTGAACACCAACCCTCCCCAAAGTGCTTGCATCTGATGCCTGAAGCAAACACAGCAGGGCCATTAAGCCAGGCACAATGTGCACTCGCAGAAGCTGAGGAATTTCAAAGAGGACAGGGGCCAGGAAATTGGTGGCAGGGGTGGTGAGCAGAAAGGGAGAACAAAGCAGAAAGCCATTTAGGGGAAGAAAAATGAAGTGGAAACGAAAACCCAGTGGCAAGCCTCCTGATGCAGAGAAAATTAAATTGTTTCTCAGGCTTCCAAGACTCTTTCAAATTATGCTCAATTACAACAGGCAAATATTTATACACGCTCGCAACCCCCGTGCCATCCAACCCATCCCGGCAGTAAAACGTGGGCTTCCTTGTCAGCCAAGCCCCTAAGCTTTGGCTGGTCCTGTTTAGCCTCCTAAACCTCTTCTGCCCAGGGCTCTTAGGTCCCCCTAGTGTTGGCATGCTTGTGTAAGTGCTGTCTGTCTAAGGTAACGGCTCTTTCATCTGAATTTTTATCTTCAAGCATTAAACTTTTTTTTTTTTTTTGACAGACAGAGTTAGACAGTGAGAGAGACAGAGAAAGAGGTCTTCCTTCTGTTGGTTCACTCACCTAATAGCCGCTATGGCTGGTGCTGCGCCGATCCAAAGCCAGGAGCCAGGTATTTCTTCCTGGTCTCCCATGCGGGTACAGGGACCCAAGCACTTGGGCCATCCTCCACTGCCTTCTCCGGCCACAGCAGAGAGCTGGACTGGAAGAGGAGCAACCAGGACTAGTACCCAGCACCCCAACCAGGACTAGAACCCAGGGTGCCAGCGCCACAGGCGGAAGATTAGCCTAGTGAGCCACAGTGCCAGCCAAGCATTAAACTTAATAGTTCTTTAGGCTGTCACTTGCATTAAAGCCGGAGAAAAGGAGTTCGTTTAAAAGATTAATACAGAAAAATCTGCATGACAATCAAGCTTGTTTTTAGCAATACTCTGAAGTTCAATCTGGACTAGAAACTTTGGATACTGCCAACAGAAAAACATGGTTAGGTCTTAAATGGCTTAAAGAATACTTTTTTTTTTTTTTTTTTGGTCAAAGAAAACTTGTTCCATAAGGAATTGTGCTGAGTGTGCAAAGAGCAAAGAGACTCTGGGCCCTGAGAGATACTAGTGCTGCTTAAACATTTTGTAAAATTATTTTAATCTTATTTGAAAGGTAGAGAAGCGGAAGCAGGGGGGAGAGATTGATCAGTCTTCCATCTACTGGTTCACTTGCCAGTGCCCCACAACAGTCAGGACTGGGCCAGGCTGAAGCCTGGGGTCTCTTACAAGCATGGCAGGGGCTCAAGGATTTTATCTTTCTCTGCTGCCTCACAGGGTGAGGCTTTCCGCAGTAGCAGGAAGCTGGATTGCGAGCACTCGGACATGGATGTGGGCATCCCAAGCAGCGACTTAACCGCTGCAGCCAGTGTGTGCCCGGTATGGCTGTGGATGGGCTGAAATTCACAGACGGGGGCCAGTCTGAAACTTTCCACCTTGTCCAACTTGAAAGCTGAAGTTCAGAAGTTGAAAGGGTTGGTGGCTCAACAGTTTTCTTACTATCATGGTGCAGTTGAGACTTTGTCTTGTGATTCAGCTCGTTCTCATCCTGAAAGGTGGTTACCCCTCTGCAGAGGTTTTACAACAAGGAATATTGCAAGGATAGGGAGGTTACAAGCCCCACAGGGCTCTCTACAACATACCGTGGCTAGCACAATGTGAGTCCTGATCGGTGTGAGTGCAGCAAAAGCTTTCTCAGAGTTAGGGAACTAGCCGGGCCCTTGAAGACCCAGATGACTCTGGTTTAAGAAACTATGGTATAGTTTGCTGATAATGACAGTGCTGGTGATGGACGTCAGGGTCACAAGCTGATGAGATGTTTTCGTTCTAGCCTGTATTCAAAATTGTTAAAAATGATCCAGACAGAACCACCCTGAAATGTTAAAGTAAAAACTCTAGTAAAAGACAGGTGGATAATAATACACAAATGTCATGATATAAAAACATACTTTGAGAAGTTTGTGGAAAATGGAATGTAAAATGCTATTTTATTCAGTGCACAACCTGCCTACCTTATGGACAGGTCCTGCTGTAAGAGGGGTCTTCAGATAGTTCATGGAAAATCTATATTATGAAAAACTATGCATGGATTTCAATTCTTAAACCGATTTATTTGAAAGAGGAAGGAAGAGAAGAAGGAAGGGAGGGAGGGAGGAAGGATATATATCGATTGACCTTCATCTGCTGGTTCACTCCCCAGATGGCTGCTATGGCCAGGGATGGGCCAAAAGCAGAAGCCAGGAACCAGAACTCCATCAGGGTCTCCTACACGGGTGGCAGAGGCCCAAGTATGGGGCCATCTTCTACTGCTTTCCCAGGTACATCAGCAGGGAGCTGGATTGGAAGTGGAGCAGCTGGGACTTGAACAGGTGCTCATACAGGTTGCAAGCATGGCAAGTGGAGGCTTAATCTTGGGTGCCAGGATGCTGGCCTCTCACATTTTTTTTTATCAGAATAAACATTTTCTAGAGGTTTACTTAAGCTTTTTTTTGTTTGTTTGTTTTGTATTTTAAATTTGAAAGGCAGTGAGGTTGGAACTGTAGCATAGCAGGTAAAGCCGCCACCTGCAGTGCCAGTGCAAATTCAATCCCGGCTGCTCCACTTCCAATCCAGCTCTCTGCTATGGCCTGGGAAAGCAGTAGAAGATGGCCCAAGTCCTTGGGCCCCTGCACCAGTCTGTGGAAGACCTGGAAAAAGCTCCTGGCTCCAGGTTGGCCCAGCTCTGGCCATTATGACCATTTGGGGAGTGAACCATCAGATGGAAGACCACTCTGTCTCTCTGCCTCTGACTCTCTGTAACTCTTTCAAATAAAATAAATAAATCTTTAAAAAATTTTTGAAAGGCAGATAAAGAGATCTCCCATCTACTGGCTCAGTCCCCAAATGCCCACAACAGCCAGAGCTGGGTCAGCCAAAGACAGTGGCTGGAGTCTCAATCCAGGTCTCCCACAAGAGTCAAAGGGATCCAACTACTTGAGCCATTGCTGCTGCCTCCAAGGGTTTACTTTAGCAAGAAGCTGAAATCAGGAGCAGAGTGAGATGTTGAGCTCAGGTACTCAAGGGACGTGGGTATACCAAGCAGCCACGCCAAATGCCTGCCTCTAAACTTGTCTTTTAATTCCATCCCCAGAAACTTTGTTTTAAGAAATTTGAAAGGCAAAGTGACAGAAGGGGAGACAAAGAGATCTTCCATGTGTCGGTTTATTCCCTGATTCGCTGGGCCAGTCCAAAGCCATGGGCCAAGAACTCCATCCTGGTCTCCCACGTGCGTGGCAGGAACCCAAGCACTTGGGCCATCCTTTGCTGCCTTCCCAGGAACATTTGCAGAATAAGTCAGAGCAACCAGGACTTGAACCTGAACTCTTGAGTGGGAAGGCACCTGTGTTGCAAGCAGCAGATTAACCCACCAAGCTGTAATGGCTGCCCCTCTGTAAACTTTTTGAAGTGCTTGCTGTCAAATGGATTGAAAAGGAGAAACCGCCAACTGAAAAGCAGAGAAAGGATAATGCCTCTTTAGAGTCTGTTTATAAATATGATACTTCAAATAATTTATGGAAAAGGGAAATTAAAAGATATATTTTGGTCCAAAAAATTGTGGGATCCAGGCCTATTTTTTCTAACACACACACTCATGAACTTTTGGAAGATTTTCCCCATACAAAAGGATAAATATATCTTGTTCTCACCCTGCCAGCCCCAGCTCTAACAATCATCACCCTTAAGCTTCTCCCTGGCATTCTGTTGATTGATTGTTGGCTATGATTAGAACAATGTCTCCTAATAAGCCGCTTTCAGTGAAAACAAATCAACACACAAACCTTGCTCTTAGCTTGTTAACTGGGCCATCTTCAACCTATACTGAGCAACAATTCTAATAGGAGAGGAGAGAAATTCCACATCCCTGACTGGCAAGTACCTTATTTCCCACCTGTTAGAAACACATGAATGGGTGCCCATCACCTTCACTCCCTGTGCGCAGCCCATGCTGTGGCATCCCCGAGACAGTCCCGAGATGAGATTCCTTTGGCAGCGTGTTGACACGCGTGCCGGGGAACGCAGAGCTGTGGGTGTGAGAGACCCGTGCGGCCAGTGACACGCGTGCCGGGGAACACAGAGCGGTGGGTGTGAGAGACCCGTGCGGGCAGTGTCACGCGTGCCGGGGAACACAGAGCGGTGGGTGTGAGAGACCCGTGTGGCCAGTGTCACGCGTGCCGGGGAACGCAGAGCGGTGGGTGTGAGAGACCCGTGTGGCCAGTGTCACGCTGCCGGGGAACGCAGAGCTGTGGGTGTGACAGACCGTGCGGCCAGTACCTGGCATGCGGTGAATGGTTTAATCCTCCAGAGGAATGGAGGAATGTCGAGGACAGAGATCTGCAGGCTGAAGGTGTTGCCTTTGAAATGCAGCAACTTTGGTTCCTCCAGGAGCTGCCCACCGTGATGCCTTTCATCGGAAACCACTTCCTGCAGGAAAGGAGAGAAGCACCTCTGTGAAGCATCTGGCAAATCCCCGCCCTCTGCCAGGAGTCCCTGAGCACCGGGGCAACCTGCGTATTGGCCCATCCTTCCTGGACATCTCCAAATCCCTTCAAGGCTTGCTGCTAACTCCGGAAGGGTGCTGAGTTACAGGGACGTGGTGAAGGAGATGGCTGGTCCTTATTGCTTGTGTTGCTGAGGATTTTAAACACATGCCACCTTTCCCTAAAACTAAGAGACCTCTTCTGCCCTGAAACAAACTGCGATACTGCTGAGTTTCTACAAGGCTATGACTTCATTTGAATAGGGCCACAGTCAAGGGATGGATTTGTCTTAAACTGATACAGCACGTTTTATTCTCAGAAAGGGAACAAACAGCCCCACCTACTCTGCAATTATTTTTCACTAACACAGGCATTAGCCAATTTTTTTTTTTTTTAAAGAAAACCATTTATTTATTTATTTGAGAGGGATAGAGGGAGAGAGAAAGATCTGCTGGATTATTCCCCAAATGGCTGCAGCAGCCAGGGCTGGGTCAGGCCAAAGCCAGGATCTAGAAACTCCATCCTGGTCTCCTGCATGGGTGGAGGGTCCCGGGTACTTGGACCATCATCTGTTGTCTTCCCAGGTGCATTAGCAGGAAGCTGTACTGGAAGCAGAGCAGCAAGACTCCAACCAGCACTCCAAGATAGGATGCCAGTGCAACCAGCAGTAGCTTAACTCACTGTGTGGACCCTGGTATTTATTCTTTTGTCTTAAAATCAATGTTCCAGAGTACATATATCTTGTTTATTTTGTAGCAACATTCACAAAAGCCATCATACCAGAAGGACAAGAAAAAATAAGTTGTTTATTAACTTAAGCTCAAGAAAAAAATTAAATCTCTTGGGTAAGCAATCGTACCTTTCACTGAGAAATTTGGATAATTATATTTACATAATCCATATACATTCTATGGAGTAAACATTTAATTGGTTCTAAATTTGTCATACTTACATTTGTATTGCAGAGAAAATAGGATAAATAATAGACCAAATGTGCATTCTGTAAAGTGTCACATACTGTGGGGATGAGACTTTCATTGTGACTGAAGATAAGCGACCCCCCAAAATCCAAGTTTAAAATCACCATTAATTGGCTTATACAAAACTCAAATTTTTTATGCCCTATAATCTTTCCAAATTTTAAAAATGGTTATAAGAAGTAATGAGTAGTTTATAAATACAACTTGTATTTCAATTAAAAACCAGTAATAGCAGCGTTGCAGGCTAGTTTCTCTCTCCTATAAATGTGGAATAACATTAGAAAACCACTGTAAGCCTTTCAAAGAAAAGGCTCCCCAACTCCTACCCTTCTTGCACCCCTGACCTAGTAGGCTGCTAAGTCTGGGGACTAAATGATTCAGATCCCATGTGAATTTCCCCATCTTTTGCTCTCGCAAGGGGGAGGGCTGACTCTCGGGAGTCTTAGGTGAGCAGTGAACTCCGTGATGGAAATGTTTTCTGCATGAGCCAATATGGTAGCCCAGTGGGTACCAAAGGGCTTGCACTGCAGCTAGGTGGATCCTGAACTGATTCTTCCATTGTAGCTGAAGTTAAATACCAACACATGGACGGTAGAAAGCCAGAGTGTGGATTTCCAAACCCAGCAGCTAGTGTCAGCTGGGAGCTGCTTAGCGTGGCAGGGGCAGACGAGAGGGAACGAATTCTCAGTGTCTCCTCGGGGGAGGCATCAGCCCCCTTGCACATGCTGCTCACTGGTTCCTCCTTCTGAGACTGTGTAAGTGTCACACTCAGATGTGCACTGAGTTTGCAGAAACGAGGCGGTCTGTGCCTCCAGGGAGCTCACACTCCAGCCAGAGTGTCGCTACGGCGGGGCTCTGATGCTAACAGACATCTCGGTCTTACAACACCTGTAGGCCTGGGAGGGGAGGCCAAGAGAGTGCAGGAAGTGATCCTCCATTTGGACTCTGTAATGATTAAAGGGGCTGGAGGAAGAAGTCATTCCAGGGAATGAACAGTCGTGGTGGAATAGAAGACCGGGGTGGAAAGCGTGTGGTTAGCGATGGTGACATTGTCATACTCAGGGGCTCATGGTTTATTTCAGAGTAACATTGCTCCAGGCCTTGAGGGATTTTAATCTCCTGGGGGCGGCCAGCGCTGCAGCTCACTAGGCTAATTCTCCACCTTGTGGCACCGGCACACCGGGTTCTAGTCCCGGTCGGGGCGCCGGATTCTGTCCCGGTTGCCCCTCTTCCAGGCTAGCTCTCTGCTGTGGCCAGGGAGTGCAGTGGAGGATGGCCCAAGTGCTTGGGCCCTGCACCCCATGGGAGACCAGGATAAGTACCTGGCTCCTGCCATCAGATCAGCGCGGTGTGCCGGCCGCAGCGGGCATTGGAGGGTGAACTAACGGCAAAGGAAGACCTTTCTCTCTCTCTCTCTCACTGTCCACTCTGCCTGTCAAAAAAAAAAAAAAAAAAAATCTCCTGGGGGCTACATATACGAAAAAGAGTACTGTTTTTGTAAACTGAAGATGGGAACAAAAGATTCCAAGGACTATTTTATGTGGTCTTTGGTGAATTACTTACTTTTTTTTTAGACCTCAGTTCCTTTCCTGGGTTTATTCATAGGCAAACAAAATAATTATGAGAATGTTAACCTCCTTTTGCAATTCTGGTACAAGCTTAGACACAGGTACCCATAAGAAATGCGCTTATTAAAACCATATTAAAGTCACAATATAATAACAGTGTTGACTCTTCTAAGCATATTTGAATTAGGCTCTCTAAAGAACACTCCTATTCTTTAAATCTAACTCACTTTAATGCCTGGGGAAGCAAAGTGGTATCACGAGATGAAGTAACTTATTCGAGATCATGTGTTACTTAGTGCAGTGCCAGGTTGCTTTATTGTTTAGAAACTACATGGAATTGTTGTACTGAAAAGGAACTTAATGAAGATTTACATCATTAAGCCCCTTATTTACAGAGGAAAACACAGGCCCCAGAAGGAAGTCGTTTGCCTGAAGCCACATGGTTAGTGATTGAACAGGGCACCTTGATCACAGCCTAGGTTCTCCTCTTTCCTTAGACTAGGCTGACATTTTTTTAAAGAGTCGTGTCAAGGTTAGACTGTTATTAACTTCTTTGTCGCATAAATAGTTTTTCATTGGTACCAATGTATCATATGACATAAATCAGTCTGTATTTGCCTTGGATTTATATATACTGTCTAAATAGTCCTAGAAATGCAGTAAGGAGAATATTAGAAATTCAAAAAATTGCTAACTATTTTGGAGGAAAACGTTCCAAAAAGTTTAAAAAACTTCTGCTTTAAGACCTGAAATTTAAATATAACCAGGATCTGTTTTTTGCAATTTTGTTTTTTTGATAGGCAGAGTTAGACAGTGAGAGAGAGAGAGAGACAGAGAGAAAGGTCTTCCTTTTTTTGTTGGTTCACCCCTCAAGTGGCTGCTATGGCTGGTACGTTGCGGCCAGCGCACTGCGCCGATCCGAAGCCAGGAGCCAGGTGCTTCCTCCTGGTCTCCCATGCGGGTGCAGGGCCCAAGGACCTGGGCCATCCTCCACTGCCCTCCCGGGCCACAGCAGAAAGCTGGACTGGAAGAGGAGCAACTAGGACAGAATCTGGCACCCCAACTGGGACTAGAATCCCGTGTGCCGGCCCCAGAGGCGGAGGATTAGCCTAATGAGCCATCGCGCTGGCCAAACGTGAACATTATTACACAGTCCTTAACACAGGTTTCCCAGTCATGCCCTTGGCTTACTGTATTACTTTCAGGGGCTGAGCCTGGACTTCTGGATTTTTAAATGCTTTTCAGGTGATTCTGATGCCCATCCAGGCTTGGAAACCAACGACGCCAAGAGCTCCGCCAGGTTAGTCCTGCATTACTCATTGGGATGTTTCTTCCGACAAGCACTTGATTTCCTATCTGCCTCCCCTATGACAAGGATTTCCTGCTACATCTCTGCTTCCATTGTGAAATTTATATTTGAATTAATGAAACTAGAAAAAGGGTCTTGATATCAGCTGCACCTACAGGCTCTGGACGATGGTTTTGCATGGAACTTTATTTCCTCATTTCACTTCTGGGGGTTACAAGGCATCCAGTTCTAGAAATTGTGGCCAGGAGAAATTTGTGCCTTGTGCCTCACTGAGCTCTTTATGTTGATTTAATGAGACAGGCAGCAATAGTCAGGTGTGCTTCAGGGATATTTCAACAGGCAGGCTGAATTTACATATTTATGAGACAAAACTGTTTGAATGTACACACACACACATTATGTCGCTGCAGTGTTTGTCTTTAAATGCTCTACGTGAACAATATTTCCCAGGGTTGCGTTATTGATAAACACAAGAACTACATCTGGAGGAAATCCTTTGAAATTAGATTCTAAATCCACATTAATGCCAAGTAGGTAATGAATAGGAGTGTGGGGGCACTAGGGAAAAATCTACATCTATGTGTTGTTGTTGCTTTCCTTTGTCTTTCTACAATAGAGTAAGGCAAGGGCTCAATTCCTTGCTCTCCCTAAGTCAAGGTTTGAGTTGTGTGTGTGTTTTGTTGTGTAATAAAACACAATGACAAAGAACGGGGTCTTAAAACATAACTGCTTTGGAAATCCATCACTGTCCCTCAGCCTTCCGTTGGAAATTATCAGAGGTGATGTTAAGCACACACACATAAAATGGCTGCCCCAGTGATTCCGGAAACATTGGGGCAGGAAGGAAAAAGGTGTGTGGTCTACCCCTTCTTATTCTCCACTCGTCTTCGAGAGGATGCTTTTGTTCTTTAAACACGTAGAGGAGTTAATTTTGATGTACCAGAACAGATCTTCAAAATTCTGAATCTAAATTAATTATGTCTGAACCAAGTATAGGAGATATTATGTTATTTTCATTCAAGGAAACTGCTACTATCATTCCGAGCTATCTCAGTACAAATAAGAAGCCAGCAGAGGGGACCAACCTGAGGCATGGGGAAGGAAGCCACGCTTGACAATCGAGAACATTTCTGTGTAGTTGCAAAATTCTCTAAAGGAGTGCTCTTGGGTGGGGTCATTATGCTGCCCGGCTCTATACGGCTTACTTGAACAGGTAGAGCTGGGTGGAAGTTCTCCTTCTTGCAAGGTCTTCCATGGAGAGAGGGTGGGCTTTCAAGTGTTTTATGGGCTCTAATTTCCCACTGGGATTTGAGTGAAGTGAAAGGTGCATGCATGGCCTGGAGTCAGGCTTCCCTCTAGGTAAAGTGCACATACCTGATGTCACTTCTTTGTGCTGGAAGATGCACTGTAATAAAGACAGGAGCTAATATTGCTTTTATCTATCTCCTGACCCCCACTAACCGTTCGTTACAGCGAGAGTTGACGCAGATGCCAGGGCAGCTATGTCCTGCAGAAATGCTCCATGCAGAAGTACATACTGGGGCTGGCGCTGTGGCGCACTAGGTTAATCCTCCACTGCCGGTGCCAGCATACCCTGTGGGCACCAGTTCTAGTCTGGGCTGCTTCTCTTCTCATCCAGCTCTCTGCTATGGCCTGGGAAAGCAGTAGAAGATGGCCCAACTCCTTGGACCCCTGCATCCACATGGGAGACCAGGAGGAAGCTCCTGGCTCCTGGCTCTGGATTGGCGCAGCTCCGGCCATTGGAGAGTGAACCAGCGGATGAAAGGCCTCTCTCTCTCTGTCTCTACCTCTCTCTGTAATGCTGTCTTTCAAATAAATAAAATAAATCTTTTTTTTAAAAAAAAAGTATGTACTAATTTCAAAGAGGAGGTCAGGGTTCTGAGTGTTACAGAAAGGGAGTCACCAATATACACCATATGCTTCCGTTCACACTGCCTGAGATGGGGGAGCTATCATGAATCTGTGAAGTTTTTTAGAGGCTTAAAAAGTGGATCTATCTCCATGGGTCAGTAGTTAAGTAATTCCCTGTTAAATACCAAATATAAAAGCACAAAAACATGAGATAGATGACTTGAGATCTTAGGATCTTGCCTTCTGCACATTCATTGTGACCACTCTTTCAGAAACAAACCTGGAGTCCATGACTTGGTAGTAGTAAATGGTTGCTGCTGGACTAAGCTAGAAGCTGCGTTTTAATCTACCTATGGGCCAGAAAAGTTATTCAAGCAAGCTTGATGACCTGTCAGCACCCCAGGGGGATGCATGGCCTTTGCTGCTCATGACAGCTGTCACATACATCCTGTCAATCACAAGTACAACCAAACTCAACTTCAAAATCGGCCTCACTTGACATGATCGGAGAAACAAAAAAAATCACTGGAGGGAAACAGATGATAATGAGTGGGATTCCAAAGTATTTCCACCGAAAAATCATTTCTCAGAAGCAAAATTGTAGGGGCTTACTAATGTAAGAAATATGTCGAAATAATGAAATAAAGACATTTGGGTTCAGTTAGAGGAAGTCCCTGGCACTGATTAAGCAGGCGATATTACCAACAGGAAGGGGTCGTGGCTTGAAAAGCGGTGTTTAGGGCCTTGTATTCACAACTTCCACTATGATGCATGCTCATCTGTATAGAGTTGAGCTGTTCTGGAAACAGTTAGCAATCAACAAGAATGAAACAGTTGATCTGAACATTACTGAGAATAAACTCCTTATGCAATTGTCTATCTCATTGGTACACACTCAGAAGTAAGACCATGGGGTGGCAAAAAAAATTCCCAAGTGGGCATGAGGGCTACCTTGCAAGGCAGCTGTGTAAAGATCTCCTCACAGTCACGTTAGTCAAGAGAGGGTTATCTGTGAGAGCCAAGAGACTGGCTGGCCTCCATGATTACTCCAGGTAATTCAGCCTTGAAAACCTGGTTGAGTTACTGAGCATCCAGCTGGACTCATGGTGCCTTTCACAACAGGTACTGATATTAATGACCCTTAGATTAATGCTATTGAGTCACTTGTTCTTGATTTTACTGAATGCCTGTGTTATGTATTTTGTCTTGGAGAAACTGTGTTATTGAGGGTAGGTGAGCAGATGGAGTAGAAACTGGCAATCATGAGACAAGGTTTACTGACATTGAAGCTCTGTGCAGAATGGCACAACCTCCTTTTGTGACAGCCAAAAATTACCTGTGCCCTCTGTAAAGAGCAGTGCTACCAAAGAGACAGGTCGGGTATGGGGACAAGGGTTGGCACCGTGTCACCTTTCCTGGCCTATCTTCCAGATTTAGGTCACTGTATCTTTTCTATTGGTAAACATGAGTTTTCCAGCCCAGTGTCTTAAAAATCTCGTTCCTGAGGAAATGCTTTGCATAATGGACCTAATGACCCAGGACGGGAATGGCAGGGATCTGGAATGAGGTGTGTCAGGAGAGCTGTGCTATTTACATACGGGCACAGCTTACACAGGCAGGCTCTGCGTCTCCTTGTTGCTATTAATAAACTGTACTCCTCCTGAGTAGCTCATTTAAAAAGAATCTTTCATGATTAAAATCACCAAAAATGGAAAGGAACCTTGAACCACCTCTGCCCTTACAGCCTGATAATTAATAGACTATGTGTGCAGGATAAACTGTGGCTGCCTGGCCACAGATCCGATTTATAATCGTCGTTCTGTAACTACAACCTTCAGTTGATTCAAGCATTTTTATCACTGCCCTCTGCACATCACATAACTCTTTGCTCCTGTGGCTCATGCCATTTTCGACATGGTATCCCTTTCTTTTTTTTTTTTTTGTATTTTTTTTTTATTTTTTTTAGACAGGCAGAGTGGACAGTGAAAGAAAGAGACAGAGAGAAAGGTCTTCCTTTGCCGTTGGTTCACCCTCCAATGGCCGCCGCAGCCGGCGCGCTGTGGCTGGCACACCGCGCTGATCCTGGCAGGAGCCAGGAGCCAGGTGCTTTTCCTGGTCTCCCATGGGGTGCAGGGCACAAGCACCTGGGCCATCCTCCACTGCACTCCCGGGCCACAGCAGAGAGCTGGCCTGGAAGAGGGGCAACCGGGACAGAATCCGGCGCCCCGACCGGGACTAGAACCCGGTGTGCCGGCGCCGCTAGGCGGAGGATTAGCCTAGTGAGCCGCGGCGCCCGCCCCCTTCTTTTAAACCTCATCCATCTACGGAAGTTTGCAAAGGGTTCTCAAAACCTCTTCTCCGATTCCTCTATCTCTGTTTCCTGAACTCTGCACTCCTAGTGAGTTTTATAATTTAGTACATAATTGTCTATACAAGTGTTAATTTAACCCTTTGAGTGTCAGGTACATCCAACCCTTTTGCATTGTTGGACACACAGTAACATAGCTCTTATTTCAAAACTGGTATCCCAGCCAGACTAGTGGTGAGGGTTCATTTTCTAGACTCTCAACACGGCAACTCTCGTCTCTAGGAAACCCCATACTTCCATGACACCATAAGAAGAATGAGAGGGAAAAAGCTGACCTGAAATGCACAAGGTGTATTGTCCACGCAGTAAACTCTCAGATTGTAATCCAGGGAGTTACAGGACATGCAGCCAAACACCGCCACCTTGAGCTGCTTCACGGCACAGTCTGTGATGGGTTCCCCAGTGAGGGCGTACGTCCCAAAGCTGTCTAGGAGCACGTGACACGCGAAGGGGTCCAAAAGGCAGTAACAGGATGTGGATTCATCCTCCACTGACATCACTTCCTGTTGGGGAAAACACACGTTACAGTATCTCAACTTGGGATTTTAAAATTACTCTGCAAGTATTTCAGGCATGGAAAGCCAAGACACTCTGGCAAAAAAAAAAAAAAAAAAAAAAAAATCCTAAATGAAAGATCTCTGTGAGTGAGATCCCAGTGGAAAAAACAGGTCTTCAAAGAAGGAGGTACCTTTCTCTGAAGAGAGGAGAGAGCCTCCACTTTGACTATGACCTTGTCTAAATAAGATAAGAGTCGGAGAACTCAAAAGGCTTCCATAGCCTTGGAAACTCATGACTGGAGCATAGGGAGATTACTGATGCCATAAACAGGAGTGTCAATTTGTTAAGTCAACAACAGGAGTCACTGTGCACTTACTCCTCATGTAGGATCTCTGTCCTTAATGTGCTGTACATTGAGATTTAATGCTATAACAAGTACTCAAACAGTATTTTTCATTTTGTGTTTCTATGTGGGTGCAAACTGTTGAAATCTTCACTTAATGTATACTAAACTGATCTTCTGTATATATAGAAAATTGTAAATGAATCTTTATATGAATGGAAGGGGAGAGAGAGGGGAAAGGGGAGGGTTGCGGGTGGGAGGGAAGTCATGGGGGGAGGGGAGCCAATGTAGTCCATAAGCTGTACTTTGGAAATCTATATTCATTAAATAAAAGTTAAAAAAAAAAACTTTGCAGTTAATACTTTTGTGCAACTGAATAAAGCTATGATAGCATTAAAAACAAAAAAAATTACTCTGCAAGGACATAAATAGAAACATTTTCAGAATATTCTTATTGTCCTACCTGTCTTGACATTAAATGTTCCTCTTCTATCAGACTAACAGCTAACATCAAGAACTCAAAAAATGGTTATGTTCAGCATGTTAGACATCTACTTACTAGGTTGTTATACCGGAAATTACATTGAACAAATCAACAAAAACATAGAATTTTCAATGTCAAGTTTAAAAAAAGAAACATGTGGACTATTAACCTTAATGAACAAACTTTGTGTTCTTAACAAAGGTATATTTCAGAAGACTCCTTTAAATAGCCTGAATCTTTACATCCTGTCACACATTTTATCCTTTTTCATTCCACCAAAATCAATCATGAGGGACCATTCAATAGATGATCTGGATAAGATGCACTACAATATTTCATGCTCCCTGATAAGAATTTAGGAATGTGTGATTGGGTTAGTGGAGCATAAACATAACACCATCTGGAGGCATAAGATTGGGAGGAAGTGCTGACAAGAAAAAAATCAAAGTGGTCAAGAGCAAGGCAGGTCCCCACCTAGTGAAAAGGAGATCAAAATGTGGCTTCTTTGTAAATCCCGAGGAGTGACATCCCAAGGATGTGGCTTGTGGTTACACCAGCATGGAATAAAGAGCAGACTGCATTCTGGGACAAGAAGGTATGACACACAGCAAGGAAGGGTCGCTGTCACTCACTGCAGCAAGAAACACAATTTCACTTTTACTTCTTTGGCCTGGAGCACCTCCTGGGAGGTCAGATCCCAGGCAGGGCTAGCTGGGACAGTTCGCTGTCCTCTAACAGGATTGCTTACCTGCTTGCTTGCAAACTCACTTCAGATGGACATAAAGGAACCCTTATCAGACAGATCAGAGCATTCATGTAAAATAGTAATTCAAGTGCGATCTTTCTTTGCTATAACTCACTTGTTCCTAATTTCCTATTATATAGCCTCATTCTCTTTCTTAAGAGTGTCTTGGTTTGGGCTAGCACTGTGACATAGCGGGTAAAGCCACCGCCTGAAGTGCCAGCATCCTCTATGGGCACTGGTTCAAGTCCCAGCTGCTCCACTTCTGATCCAGCTCTCTGCTATGGCCTGGGAAAGCAGTAGAAGATGGCCCATGTGCTTGGGCCCCTGCACCCACATGGGAGACTGGGAGGAAGTTCCTGGCTTCAGATCGGTGCAGCTCTGGCTGTTGCGGCTATCTGGGGGAGTGAACCAGCAGATGGAAGGCCTCTCTCTTTCTCTGCAACCCTGCCTTGAAATAAATAGATCTTAAAAAAAAGGAGCATCTTGGTTCTTTTTTTCAGTGTATCACTTTGCATGGATTCACATATATGGGGAGAAAGACACTAGTAATTCTTTAAACATCCATTGATTCAAACATACAGTAAGTACCTACTGTATTCCTGAACACTTAAACATAGATCAATTTTAACCCCCAGGATACAACAAGATATGGAAATTTCATTTCTCAACACAGCCTGCATGCACTGAACCCTCACTCCCTTCACAGAGGCTGGGTAACACCAATTCAGAAAAGAACACAAAGCAAGGTGACTCAGTGCAGGTGGTAAGCGCGCACGTCTGTATGTGGAACTACAACTCTATCCTAAGAGCAGATTCAAGGCTCTGGGTTATCCCTTGTCTCTTCCATTTTTATGGAAAACCAATCCACTGCCTTTAGGGTGTTATAAAGTACATGCCACCAACCCTTAGCAACACAGAATTGCTCAGAAATTCACAGTTGACTTACCGTGTTAAGAAAGGTTAAGGTTAAACGTACCCATGGAAAAACCCAAATTCAATTTTTTTTTTAAAGGAAGACTAGGTTCTCACCTCCCACTTGCCCTGTTGTGTCCGCTTCTTCAAGTGGATGTTCCAGTGCTCAGAGCTGACGTCAGCACAGTGTGGAATGGTCAGTGCAAAGGGAGTGGTGACGACCATGTCTGGGGGGCCACAGGTGACCTCAGGACTCAGAAGCACCTCAGACCCGTCTGACTGCAGGCTGCACGGAGCAGGGAGAGAGAAGGGGAGAGGCAGCACGTCTGAGTGAGAATTCAGTTGCAGGCTGGGGCATTCCTCAGACTGAGCCAAATCCCTTCCCGCGGCGCGGCGCGGCGCTCCCCAAGGACTGGCCTGGGGAGCAGGCGCCCTTCTGAACTGCTCAGGCATGCAGGCTGAGCTTACATCTCGATTGCAAAGCTAGGTTGTGACAAACGCATCAACAAAGTGTCACATACAGGGCCGACATGGAGAACTGAGGACCTCACTCGTGGGTCACAAAGCAGCTGCTAAAACCTTTTCTACTACGTTATCCATGACCAAAGCCAAGAACTGTATGGGAATGACTGACCTGGCAATCTAACTTTTTCCTAACAGCACTTTCTACAATACACATGTATGTGTATATATATATATTTAACATATACTTCTAAATGGTAGTAAACCATAGATTATTATGGAACAAAATAGTACTATAAACATACACAGATTGAGTGTGTCTATCCTAGCTTTGAAAGCATTTGTTGTCTGCCAATGCAGAAATACACGGATTGTACAGTGATAGCACAGTAGATGGTTATAAATGTGCATAATCAAATACGTAAACACACATCTTTCAACTCTTTCCTGTGTTAGGTCTAAAATTAAAATCATGCCACTCAAATCTCTGTTCAGATTCGTCTGCATCATGAATCATTTACAATGGAAATACAAAGTCGTGAAACAGAGAAAAGAAAGTGCACCAGAAGTGGTATGGAATAAGACCTCTATTGAATGCATCTCCCTTTCATTTTCTTGGCTTCTGTTTTCCATCTCTGCCCCTAACCACAAAAGCAGGGTGGTTTATAGGCCAACCATCAGTCAGAAGAACCCACAAGTCTGTGTGTATTTTCCTCCAACTGCACACGTTTTTGCAAACAAGCTGTGTGATATTTTTTGTTAGGTTTTTACTCATAAGAAATACAAAAATAACCTGGGACTCGTAATTGAACAAGGCCACATAGGCTCTAGGATTGGAGGCAGTATGTGTATCAGAGCTTTCACTCACACCACCTAGAAGGATATTTAAATATGTTGTCCCCGATCATAAAGGCGACCCTTTGGGCAACATAATAGATGAGAGATGGCATGTAAAGATGCCACCCTTTCTGCTATCTTACACCTGCAGCTTTTGCATGAACGCATCTAACATGTTGTTAATTTCGGAAATGCTTTTGTTGCCACCTCCTGTGCTCTCTCAAGTTAGTAATGGTCACACTCGAGCTCGTTATCTATAATTTGCCACTGCAGAAATGCCAAGGCCTTTCACCGAGCGCACGAGTGTCTCGTGTGCAGTGCATCCAAACAGGCCTGAACAGCATTACACAGTCTCCCTCCCTCCCTCCCCTGCAAGCACTGGAGGTGCCTTCCAAAGTCCGGTCTTCCACAGAGGCAAATCTTCCTATACAAGCAACACAGGGAGTAGGCCGACACATGACTGTATTTACTTGCTAGCTGCGTAGGTGGAGTGGGGTGGGGGGGGGCATTGGAAAGCAGTGCACTGGCAACAGCAAATGCTCCCGCTGAAGAGCCTAGAACAATGTACTTGAGGTTTGGATAGACCGCGCATCCAGCGTGTGCTATAACCAGCACGGAGCGGCAGTGTGCGTGTGGACACCTGCCAGCAACCATCAGAGAGGGTTAAGCGCTTTCGGCATAACTGTCGCCTGCATTCATCACAGACAGAAGTGGCAGAGATGCTTATGAGTGACCGATGACAAGCTCTCCTAAAAGAACTATTTAATTGCTTTCGGAGAATCATCCCCCTTGTTGAACATATTGTTCAAACATATGGGAATTTGGGGAATTATTTAATGCCAAATGAACTGAAATCCGCTAATTAGATGAACTTTCACACTCATCGAGAATAGCAAGACTCCTTCTAGCAATAACTTATACAACACAAGGAGTAGGAGCTGGCATAGAAGGGCAGACTGACTATTAGGTGGAGTGTGGTATAGAGTTTTGCATTAAATAGGCACTGGCATTTCTGTAAGTACAGTGTAAGTAAATCAAGATGTACATTTAATCTTCCTACCAGGAAAATAGGGTCTGTGGGTGGGGGTCGGTCTCTCTCTGTGAGGGAACAAAACTTAATCTCGCCAGTTTCTTCAATGATTAATAATAATTTGCCCTTCTCTGCCACCTTCTATCTGTCGCAATCAGGGAGATTCGAAAATATTAATGAAAGCCCTCTGCACACCTGTGGAGGCAGGTGTTAGCAGCATAAGGTCCCCGAGATGCCAATCAAAGCGCAGGCAGCAAAATGATTCTCAACTTCTTCCTCACAGTATCCTGCCCTCTGAAGGCAGATTGTACTTTTCTTCTCCACTGGAACTAGATTTCTGGCTAAGACTGCTGGCTCTGGTGACATCCCAAGGCAAGATGGGGGTAAGATGTAGGCCAACTGTAGTCATGGAGACAGACCCAAGACATCTGAGCACAGAGGGCTGAGGACAAAAGCCTTCAGTTAGGTGTGGGCAAAACTGAGGCTTTGTCAGAAAAGCACAGATGGCATGTGAGTTTATCACATTATATCATACGTAACCAGGCAGGACTCGCATCCCTGCTGGGGGAAAAAACCCCCATTGTTCTGAAATTGCTGGAGCTAAAAATAACCAATAACAGCAGTGATGTCAGAACTGTAATAGGAACTAGTTCAGTGTATCACAAACCCCAGTCTGATCTGTACACTGAAGAGCCCTATTTAATGGGACTTTGCTCTCCCATTGTTACCTGTCTATATATACCTATGTATGTACATACAGTGGCCCCTTCACCTCTTTTTTTTTTTGATAGGCAGAGTGGACAGTGAGGGAGAGACAGAGAGAAAGGTCTTCCTTTTCTGTTGGTTCACCCTCCAATGGCTGCTGCAGCCGGCACGCTGTGGCCAGCACACCGCGCTGATCCAAAGCCAGGAGCCAGGTGCTTCCTCTTGGTCTCCCATGCGGGTGCAGGCCCCAAGCACTTGGGCCATCCTCCACTGCACTCCCAGGTCACAGCAGAGAGCTGGCCTGGAAGAGGGGCAACCGGGACAGAATCCGGCGCCCCGACCGGGACTAGAACCCGGTGTGCCGGTGCTGCAGGCGGAAGATTAGCCTAGTGAGCCACGGCACCGGCCGCCCCTTCACCTCTTATCCATGGAGGATACTTTTTTTTTTTTTTAATTCGACTGTAGAGTTTTACAGACAGTGAGAGAGAAAGAAAGAAAGAAAGGTCTTCCTTCCATTGGTTCACTCTCCAAATGGCCGCAACAGCCAGAGCTGCGCCGATCCAAAGTCAGGAGCCAGGAATTTCTTCCTGGTCTCTCATGCAGGTGCAGGGACCCGACACTTGGGCCATCCTCCACTGTTATCTGAGGCCACAGCAGAGAGCTGGACTGGAAGAGGAGCAACCAGGACTAGAACCCGGCACCCATATGGGATGCTGGTGCTGCAGGTGAAGGACTAACCTAGTGAGCCACGGCACCAGCCCATGGAGGATACTTTTGAAAAACCCCCAGTTGATACTGGAAACCATGACAGGTGGGCTCAAACACTACATATTCTATAAGGGATCCTCAAAAAGTTTATGGAAGATCAGTATTATGAAAAACTATACATGGCTTTCCAATTTTTTTGCACCCAAAGAAACTTATCTTTTAATTCCATCTTCCAAGAACTTCTTGAACTACCCTGATACACATATGCCTACAATAAAGATTAATTTATGAATTGGTCTCATTAATAGATTAACAGCAACAGTTAATAGAAAGTAATATGAATGAAAGTTATATGAATGTGGTCTCTTCTCAGAATGCCTTTCTGTACTGTACTCACCCTTCTTGTGATGATACAAGATGATTTAATGCCTACCAATGAGACTGTGATCTAGTGTTAGGCTACATGCACTGTGACACTTCAACAGTCTATCTGATAACTGAGACAGCTACTACGGACTACTGGGCGGGTAGTATATACAGTATGGATACCCTAGACAAAGGATTGATTCATGTGCCAGGCAGGATGGAATGGGATGGTGTGAAGTTTCATCTTGCTACTAAGATCTGTGCAATTTAAAATTTATGAGTTATGAGGCCGGGGCTGTGATGTCACAGGTAAAGCCACCGCTTGCAGTGCTGGTATCCCATATGGGCACTGGTCCGAGTCTTGGCTGCTCCACTTACAATCCAGCTCTCTGCTATGCCTGGGAAAGCAGTGGAGGATGGTCCGAATCCTTGGGCCCCTGCACCTGCATAGGAGACCTGGAGGAAGCTCCCAGCTCCTGGCTTTGGATCGACACAGGTCCAGCCATTGTGGTCCTTTGGGGAGTGGACCAGAGGATGGAAGACTTCTCTCTCTGTGTCTTTCAAATAAATAAATCTTTTTAAAAAATTTATGATTTGCTTTTTTCTGGGATTTGCCACTTAGTATTTTCAAACCAAAGTTGACTGCAGGCAACTGAAACCACAGGAAGCAAGAGTGGATTAGGGGAATCTACTGTATGTACAGTTAGAATATTGTGTATGGCCAGATAAAGATCAATACCCGAGGAGCTAGATTTTTTCTATAAGAATTCTGCTTTTTAACCTGGCTAATTAATCCAGTGAACTGTCATTGTATGGATGTATGCTTTAACAACATTTTCAAAACATTAATAACGTGCATGATGGGAATTTAACACACTTTGGCAAGGATACTGGCTGCATGCTTTATTGCCATTATCCCTGCTGTTTTGGATGGCAGGGTGCTGTCTGGGAGAGTTTTTCTCCAGACATTCACAGGATTTAGCTCCCATGAGCTCTTCACGTCTCTGCTTAAATGACTCCACCAAATACAGCTTTTCCTGACCAGACCCTGGTAATCGCAACATTCTCTACACCCAAAACTAATCTCTACTTTGCTTCTTCTCCTCAACACTAAATGCTTTCTAATGCACTAACCCATTTGCTTAATTTTCCTTTGCCTCCCACAACTAGAATGTAAC